AGTTATTTATTAAAAATTTAACGAGTTCAAATTTGAGTTAAAACATAAAAAATAAAAATAAATAAATAAATTTAACAAATTAAATTTGAACAAACTCTTATCGAAAAAAATTTAGGCTTTGTTTGGCATAAATTTAAAAATTCAAAAAGTCTCTATCTTATTTAAATTATATTATCTTAAATTTGAACAAACTCTTATCGAAATGAATTTAGGCTTTGTTTGGCATAAATTTAAAAATTCAAAAAGTCTCTATCTTATTTAAATTATATTATCTTATTTGAATTATATTATTTCTCTATTACATCACTTTAAATCTAACCCATATTCAACTCATATTTTATAAAAAAATTAAAAAATATACTTATTTATATCATTTTAAACAATCATTTGTACGATTTTGTTGATTTACAGCTATGGAGAAACAGTATTGGAAGTACTTACCACTACAGAAGGCTGCTCTGACAGAAGCCATGCTTTGGTCCTTATGGAAACTTAGGAATGAATGCTTATTTAACAATGGTAGTGCAGATTTTGCACAGGTAGTAGAGCTACTGAAATAGTATTGTGTCCATAGAATTTATGGATTGTTTGATACCGAAGAGTTGCTAAAATGAATTGAGTTTAAGTTTTGACTCATGAGTGAGTACCAAGCCAGTCTAGAGATCTTGGACCTTATATTATGAGCCGAGTCTAACTATTTGGAGGATTGATTAGAGTTGTTGAAACACCAAAATAGATAAAAATATCAAAATGAGCCAGTTTAGGCCAAGTTAACTAAAATGTTAAGATCTAGGACTATTTCAATCAACACAATATACAAATGTAATAACAATTTTAGAATAAAGAAGAAAGTGAATACAATGGTGGTGATATAAACAGAGAAGCAAGGGTGACAGATATAGAATTTCTAATTTTTATTTTTATTTTTTGTTTTTTCCAAATACCATACCAATCACAAAATAATGATCTAGAAGAGAGGATTATCTTTCCCAGTGAAGAAAAAGAAGAGGAAGAAGAAGAACCTAATTAAAAAAAAAAAAATAACGTCCAATTAATATACATTAATGTGTGTTTGAGAAGGAAAATATTGAGTACACACCTAACCTTTAACGTAGTGCACAAAATGATTGTCTCGAGACTTGAACCCATAACCTCAAGGTTAATAGTGATTATAACTATTTAATTTTCTTTAATAGTCATTTGAAAAAATAAGAATATGTAGAAATAGAAACCATATAAAATTTATTTAAAAAATAAAACATAAATATGTTGTAATTGAATTATCACATAATGATTTATATGATATATATTAAATTATAATATAGTAAAATAAACACTCATACAAATAATAGTTAAATTAGAAAGAAAATTAGTAATATAAAATTAAAAGTGATTCTAATTATTTAATTTTAATTTTATTTTGATTTGAAAAATACAAATATGTAGAAATAGAACTTCACAAAAATTATTTAAAAGATTAAATATAAAAATGTTGTGATTGGATTAAGAAGAAAATACACAAATTAATTATATACAGTATTGAATTTTTCTTTAACATTCTTTTCGAATTGTTCATACATATTGTATATAGGTGTATTAAATTTAAATTAAATATAATTATTTTAATATATAATTTCATGTTGAATTAAAAATTAAATATAAATTAATATTAAGACACTTATAAGATAGATAAAAAATATAAAATATAAAAGAAAATTAATTTGATCCATGCGATGCACATAATCAAGCACATTTTGTCTCATTTATTTTTGTATATCCAGATAAATATTTTTTTTCAAATATCATGATAAGTAAATTAAAATATCAACTATATATAAAAAAAATAATGACAAAACTAAATATACGATGGAAAATATATTAAAAAAATATTTCAAATAGAGTTCATATAAAATTAGTTAGTATAATTCAAATTGAGTTTGTGTAGAACTCAATACATAAAAAAAAAAAAAAAAAAAAAAATTTGTGTAGAACTCTATATAAAAAAAAAAAAAGCATGCTGAAAAAAGTAAGTCTTTGAAATGTGCCATATAAGAAAGGAAAAAACATTACTTCATCTATCCATCCATCTATCTATATATATACTATATATATAACCGAATGTAGTTGTTAGGTCAAAAGACTCCAAAATTTGAATCTTAAAATTTCATAATTTTGAAGGGAAAAAAAATGGAAAATGTTTGGGACCCCTTTTGGGGATGACCCCATACTTCCAAAGTGATCCTAGCCCTCTATGTATGTGTGGGGCCCACATTATCAGTAGTCTAGATTTGTGAGGGTCTTGTGTGGGTGTGGGTGTGGATCTCAATTATTACTCAAAAAAAAATTACATGGCACCTCCCTTCATCTCCCTTCCCACTATTCAGGCATATTCAGGCCAATATATATCTGAGAAAATCATTACAAGGTCAGTGTAATATTATTTTTTTACTCTGTATGCATTTTTTCAATGTTTGTTATTTTGTGTATATGTTTATATTTCCTTTTCCCAATATTTTTCAGTTTATCTACACATTTTTTCATTTTTTTAATTTTTATGCTCCTAATATTATCTATTAAATTTAATGTTTTCATCTTTATTATGGGCAATTAAAACATGTTAAATTGATTTTGTATTTTGAAATATATATTTTGTTTGGTTTTAAGTTTTGAAACATAATTTTTTTTTGCTTTTCGTATTTTGTTGTTTTTAATGAATCATTTAATCTTTTAGTTAATTTTTAATTTTTTTTTTAGATATACAAAACTTAGATGCACCTAAAAAGTAATTATTTGTAGATAATTCTTAAAAAAAATAATAAATACAAAAACAAAAATTTAATGAATTTTTCAAAAAAAAAATTACAAAAATTTTACTTTTTAGGTACATTTAAGTTAAATACATCTAAAACGTAACAAAAATTGATGAAAATATTAAAAGAAAAATAACTAAATAAAAAAATGTATTTGAAATTCAAAATTCAAAACTCAAAAACTATATTACAACATGGTTACCAGAATTCTGATATGGATTGTAAGATATTAAAATTGGACAAACGATTCAGATCACACTAATCTAGTTGGGTTAAACGATTCGGATTACATTAAGATTTTAAGTTTAGTAGGATCGTAAATAACTATGACCTTAGTAATAAAATTGTGTAGCCCGATCACATACACACCAAAAAAAAAAAAAAAATCTTATATATGTATGTATGTGTATATCTATAGTAACAAATTTGCGTTTAAACTTTTTCTCGTAATATATCATCTAATTTATGTTAATATAAAAGATGCATTATATTAAATTTATCATTTTTCTTTAATAAATCATTTTTTTTATCAACAAAAGTAAACTTTATTGAATCAGAATCAATAATAAATCCTTTACATTTTATGTCAATAAAGACAGACAACTGAAGTGCTATAAGCATCATAGTAAAACCTACTCATTCCAACTAGGTTGGTGCAAGAAAGGTCATAATTTCTCATTTTATTTTGTATTGAAAGTAAAATCTTATAATTCTATATTCGATTTTACAATCCGATCCGTAAGTTCTTCCCAACAATCCTCTCTAAGATCCCCGATTTTAATAAGCCTAATTACAAAAACAGGTAAGTCAATCGAGTTCGTGAAGAATTTGGTGGATTTGATGCCAGTGGAAGCGCTGGAACTAAACGACGGTGTAGGTTACACTGCCCTCAACATTGCAGCCCGGTTCGGCAACACAGATGCTGCTAAAATTTTAGTAGCCAAACACTCGGATTTGTTATACATTCGCAACAAAGATGATTTGTTACCTCTCCACTGGGCTGCTCGAAGTGCTCATGAGGACACCCATTCATATTTATTAATGGTCACTAAACCTGACCAAAAAACCAATTGAGAATGATTTGGAGCACATGGCCCCCTTTGAAGATGATTCGGGTGTTGAGCTTCTTGTTCTTGTCATAGCTTCTGGATTCTATGTTGAGTTTTGCTACCACCTTTGGTATATGTCATATTCATTGATACGAATTGGTATTTTAGACCTTTCTCTATTAGATGCATGGTTCTAAATCGTTGTATTGGTTAACATAACGGTATCTATTATGCAGTATCGGTATCGGTAGTATTGGCCGGTACGTATCGAAAATCAGGTGTCGCGGCCGTGAAATTACTTAACCAATTTTCAACACTTTCTTTCCCGTCATGGTGAGTATCGGTTTGTCGCGACTTGTGTAATAGTTACACCCCGTTGCGTAATGGGAACCGGCTGCAATGTCGACAATTTTCATTCACACCGGTATACCGGTGGGTTTCCGTAATGGGCCTTGATTTTCCGATACGTATCGGTTAGTACACTATGTTCCTCTCAATTGTCATACAAAGTAATATTTTTTATTGTATTATCTATACCAATATATATCCAGGTACGGTTATTAAAAGCTATATATTGCCCTCTTTTTGAAAAGACCTGAATAAAAGTAACTTTTTAAGTAAATAAACTTGTTTGAAATTACTTCTTCATATAAAAAATAAAATAAATAGAAACACATTTGTTAGCAAATTTGTAGAAAAATTAATTTTACACTCAATACCTTCACCATCTCCACAATACTATTAAGTGTTGTTTAGTTCACTGAAATGAAATAGAACACAATAACTATTCGATCAAAATATTCACTCACTAGTTTGATTGACGAAAAAAAATTAGTGCATAAGAGTAATATGGCAACTTCTTATCAAAATGTAAGTTTGACGATATATATATATATATATATTTAGCAGTTACAAAACACTTAACTAAAGGAAAAATACTAAAAGCAATTTCCAAATCCGGCCTAAAAGTCAAGAGATTAATTATTGATTCAAAAGCAATACATCAACTTGTTGAGTTGGCAATATGAGATTATTGAATAATCATTCAAAGAAAATCTCATTAAAAATATAAATTATATAACATTTTTCAAATCTAAAGATATTAAATATATCGCTTTTTTATATAACATTTTTTTTTTTTTAATTATACAGATATAGCTTTGGATTTGGTTAGGCAATATCCCCAGGTAGCTAAATCAAGATTTCGGCATCAGTGTGCTCTGGGAGAAATGGCTAAAAAGGTGTCTGCATTCAGAAGTGGTAGTCATTTCAATCATTGGCAAAGCATAATATATTATTGTAAGTGTTTAGTAACCCCACTAAGCCTCTGTTTGGGAAGAAAAAGCCCAGGCTTTTTTGGCTAAAATAGCCACAAAAAACAAAATAGGCTATTTTAGCCACAAAAAACAAAACATCAAATCCAACCCATAATCATTACAATCCTCTCTCACAAAAAAAGTCAAAAAAGCCAAAAAGCCAAAAAGCCCTTCCCAAACCAGGCTAAAATAGCCCAGGCTAAAAAGTCAAAAAGCCAAAAAGCCAACCCACTTCTCAAACGGAGGCTACTTAACTATTCAAAAATTATTTAAAATTATTGTTTTATGAATTAAATTTATTTTCCACATAAATTTCATAATTCACAAATTCAATCCTAACCCTCCATTCTTTCTGCTATTCCATGCCTTATCTTATTTGTTTTTTTACTTTTATTTTGCAGAAATATTATAAAATAATATATACTATACAATTGGCTTTAATTAAATCAGTTAGCCATAAGTTTAAGACCAAAAAATACGTTGTCAATGAAGTTCTACTTATTTAGGAAATGCTTTTTTTTTTTTTTTTCATCTTTTAGCCTTTCACAGTTTATTTATTTATTTATTTTATACCTCTCACTAGTGGATGACAAAAAATAATTAAAAAAAAAAATGGCTATCAAAAATATTTAATTCATTAGAATGAAACAGAATGAAAAGATCATTTTATCAAAATATTTGTTCTTATATTTGGTTGACTAAAAAAATAAGAATTATTTATACGAAGACCCCCCTAAACTATTAAGAAATATTAGTTTTGACCCTCTAAACTATCAATAGATCCTAATTCTCATAAAGTCTTATTAAAAATAAGTCATAGCAAAATCGTCATTTAGAATAATTTTTTATGACGATTTTGTTCATATTTCGTTAAAAATTGATAATTTGTGACTTTTTTTGTCACGTTTTTTTTTATAAATTATCGCTAAAACTTACAATTAGTAATATTTTTCTGTAACGAATTTTTCAAGCTACTACTGAAAGTTAAAAATTAGTGACGTTTTTTGTAATAATTTTTTTAAACTGCCGCTAAAACTTATAATTAGTGACATTTTTTGTGATAATTTTCAAACTATCGCTAAAAATTAATAATTAGTAATGTTTTTTAATAGTGTTTGATGAAAAACACCATTAATTATCATAGGACCTATTAGACAATAAGTCTACCTATTAGGACCTACACGTAAGTTCCCATAAACTAGAAAAGTATACAAATGAACCCCTTAAACTATTGAGAAATATCACTTTAGCTCTCTAAATTACAAAAGTGTACCAATTGGACCACCTAATAGAAGGGGTCAAAGTGAAACATGTCAATAGTTTAGGGCTATTGTAACACTCCAACTTCCGAACAGTTAATAAATCAACTCAATCTCAAATTTAAAATTCTAACTAATTAATAACCTTAAAAATACAAAATTGTCTCCAAAATAATTACAAAAAAGTCTCCAAAATATAACTTATACAAATCTCTAAAAACAATATATAATCTCTAACTCAATAATCCTTTAAATTCTTCAACCCCAAACACCACTAAACTTGCTCCACACCAGAAAAATAAATTAATTCGAGAAGTATACAATACGACAAGAGTAACAAAGCTCGGAGAATGAATAATTTCACAGGGATTTAATAATTACACAAACGATTCAATTCGAGATACCAAGCAATTTACCAAATTGCACAAACAAGTTAACTCGACATATGATAATTTATCTAGGACCAAATACCAAGTCTTACTCAGTACATAACCAGTTACCGCCTCACCCCACCGCTTATCCGAGCTATTGGTACAGAGCATACTGGTAAAGTTTACTCGATCCGTGTATGGAGCATTTCCACGTCATTTAGCCAGACAAATCAACATTTCCAACACAGAATAACTACACGGAGTTCATAAAATGATTAGAGTAATCAAACGAATCAACAACGAATAATTCCACAGAATTTATTAGATTATCAAAATCATCAAGAGGAGTACAAATTGAAGGTGATTAAAATAATACTGTTTGCAAAGAGATTTAAAGAAAGCATATTGTATACCACCCAAATTACCTCAAATCAATCTCCTCCGTCACCAACACTCTAATCTCGATATTTCTCCATGGATCTCCAAAAATAACTCTGATCTTACTTTGATAAAATCTATAACTCTTATCTGATATATCACCAAGGCGAAACAAAATTTCCATATTCAAAACCACTTAAAGAATTTCCAGAATTTCCCAATTTGTAGAGAATTTTATCTAGTTTTCAAAACATTTTTCAGAAATGGAATAGCTTTTCCTGATTTTTAGATATTTCAGAAATACTCTAGCTCTGTCCAGATTCGTCGATAGTTACGAAAATCGGATTTTCTCACAAACCGCTCACTCTTTTTCAATGAAACCAATTTTCCTTGAAAGCTAACTCCTTAAGGAAGAGTTGGACATAAAAGTGAGGTCCCGAATATATTTCTACATTTTTATAGAATTTTTGAAAGTTGGCTGTAAAATAGACTTTTTGGCACAGTTCTTGCAATAAGAAAGTTAGTGAGAAAAGATGTTAACTAAGGGAAAATTTTCACTTCTCTTGTAATGAAAACATGCTAAATAATATGTATTAAACTTAGAAATTTAAGGTGAAGGCGTGCCTTTGGAAATTTTGAGAGGTTGATACAGAAAAAGGCCGTCTTATACCGATTACGAGAAATACAAGAAGGGTAGAATCAAGGCTCAACTCCTTTCATTTTCCACACAAAAGTACTATCAAAACACATCTGAAATGAATGTTTAAAACTTCTAAGAGCATGTATTTGAAAGGAAAAATAAGAGAGAGTTGTGTTGTGGCTTACTTGAGGCTTGATTGAATTGCTAGCAAACTTTTTCTTCCTCTCCTCTCTTCTACCAAGCTCACCCTCCTTCCTCTCTTCTCTCTCAGCTGAATATAGTGTGTATGTGTGTGTTCTTGCACGTAAAATGCTATGTGAGGGGTTGTTTTTATAAAGAATTTGGTGCAAAAGGTCATAAATGCCCATTGGTTGGAATTGGATTGGATAGTTTGGATTTAGTTTGAATTCAATAGAATAGCGGAGGGTTAGAGGCCTTAATTAGGTTCCTAAACATGATCTAGTTAGGGTTTTCCTCCTAATCAAACCAACCTAGTTGCATATATATATATATAAAAGTTTGTACCAAGTTAAAGATATTTTCCTTAAATCATGCAGAATTGTCTCAAAGCACATTCATAGTATCTATATAGGTTATGGTTGGCCATAAATGGTGATTTAAGGGACTTACTTTATTATTTTTTGGGGTACAAATGTTGAAAATTGTAAAATATAATGTTTAAAAAAGGTTTTAGGGTACAAATGTATATGTAAATATATAATGGTACTTGTTTGGGGTCAAAATATGATTTAATAAAAATGTGAGGGCTTGTGCTCAATTAAAATATTTATTTCAAGTGTAGAGTTAATAAATTAGTGTTTGAAAAATAATTCAGTTTGTATTATCTTACTTTGAATTTAAAGGTGAATAACCGAACGAAAACTGTAAAAACCAGAAGTTAAGGTTTAAAGAGATTAATCTAAAATTTGAGAGTTAAATAATTAATATTAGAGTGTTAGAAATAATTTCTAAGCTTCCAGGGTCGATTAGGGTTTGTATAAGTTCATCCTTAATGCGTTTTCGGTTCTAGGGTTTAATTCTGCGAATAAACGGGGAAGTAAGGGTTTTTTATATTATAATAACTCAAAATTTAGGGACCTAATAAGGTTTACTAAAGTTAGGGGTCTCACAGCTATTTGTATGCTTTTATAATTTAGGAGGCAAAACAATACTTCTCAATAATTTAGAGGGTTCATTTGTACACTTTTATAGTTCAGGAATCAAAGTAATACTTTTTAATAGTTTAGGGGTCTCCACATAATAACTCAAAAAAAATGGCATAATGAATTATAAATGGAATCAACATTTATTATTTCAAGAGATTAGTCATCTATACAAGAATCTACTCCATTATATTTCAACTCATTCCAATAAATTAAATAGTGCATGCGTGGGTTGGGATAAGTTATGAAACACTAAAGTGGCTATCTTTAAGAACAATAATGTTTCGGTATGCAATATGTACTGTATGCAACTCTATCACAAAATTATATAAATTTTTACAAAATTACATAAGTGATCTCGCAAAAGTACATAAGTTGAACACAAATTCGCATAAATTTGTAAGAGCAATGCTATAGCCAACACTTTTTACCCACAATGATATGACAAGGGAGTTGGACCCCATATCATTAATGTATAACAAATCAAGAGTTGACACATATAATAGCACGTCATTGTGGGTACAATTGTGGGTGTTCTTTGCAAGTCTCAAACATTTTTCAATTTGTAATTTCATAACTTTTATAAATAGACTTAAGCGAATTTATGTTCAACTTATGTATTTTTGTGAGATCACTTATGTAAGTTCGTGAAAACTTACGTAATTTTATGATAGAGTCGCATACGGTGTGCATTGCACACCGAAGAATATTTCGTCATGGATTATTACTCAAATTTATTTTTGGGTAAATTACTCCTTTAAAGTATAAAAAAATTAAAACAACTAAAACTAATATAAATAGTGTGAAATCACACTAATAAATAAGAAAAATTGTACATCTTATTGTTAAATATATAAGTCTCCCATTTTTTTATCCATATAATTAACAAATTATTGATAAAAATGAAATTAATTAAAATCTTAAAAAAAAAAAAACCTATAATTATTAACAACTATGAATTTTGTTGTATTTTCCCCAAATTTCTGAGGCTAGTTTTTTCTTAAAGATGTTCCAGTGAAGGTAGAGCAATCCGCCGAATACAGTGAAAGAGATGACATTTTGAATCCAAGTAAGTGACTGCGCACAAGTACAATTGGACTTGTTTTTTGGAAAGAATGTTCTCATTTTCTGGTTTGTCATATAAACTCTTTGTTAATCCATATCTTATTTATGAATGCAATTTGTTAAGTCATAGTTTTTTGTTTTTTATTTTATGTGCTCATGATAAGGTTCGTAGTCTTTTAAGTCATAGTTTTTTTATTTTTTTATTTTTTTTTAATCATTGAATTATTTCATCGAAACTTTCAATCTTTAGGTATTTTTGTTTTTTTATGTGCTCTTGATAAGGTTTATAGTCTTTTAAGTCTAATTGGCTCGACACATAGACATAACTCTATAAGATGAACTAAATGAAATAAATATGATGATAATTATGATTTCTCTAATATCCTGCATCAAATCAAAATATTATTATTATTATTATTATTAACTATACTATTATATAAGTCTAGCCTTTTCCTTATGTCACTTATCCTTATTTTTCTATTTAAAATATAAAATAAAATAAAAATGTACACAAGACTTGAAATCTTGACTTTGAGTATATAAAGTGAGCAAGTTAATTGGTGTACTCAAATTTCTTCTCTCATTTTTCCAAGTATCCTTTTTCCATTTAAGAAACTTAAGGGGTATTTAGAAGAGCCCTGCTAGGGACTCCCAGCACCCCTACTGAATTTTGATTGGTTGAAAATTGGTTTTTTTTTTTTTACCTTGCAATGACAGTCCCCCACGTGGAGATGGGGGTGGTGGGGGTCCAAGGTATTTTCTTATTTAGAATGATCAATAAATATATTTTTTAACTTTTTACGAAAAAACATAAAATAAGAGTTGGATTTGAAGTGTATGATAGAGGGGTGATGTGACACAAATAAAATGATTGTGATTCAAATAGAATAATGTGTGCTATTTTAGCACATGTCAAATATCCCATATATAAAGGGGAGGGGGTAAGACTTCAACCTTAAACCAAAGGTTTCATGAAGAAGACTTTCACCACTTGACTATTACACAACATACATTAAATAGTTTTTTCTTTTTTCTTCTTTATTTTTACTTATTTGAATTGCACAAGTATTGCATCTACTAACTGCTAATTATTATCTATACTATTATACTATTATATAAAGTGAACATGTCTTTTAGTGTCCTGAATACTTTGTTTGTCCTCACGCCACGCGGCACATGATTTTTTCTATTAAAAAAACAAAATTGGATAACTAAGTTAACAAGACCTTACTCTAGGAGAATGAAACTTTTACCACTTGAACCCCACACATATTATGATACTAATTTATTTTATTTTGTTTTACTTTTACTTATTTGAATTGCCATTGCTCAAATTGCTTGTAAATCTTTTGTAAAGTTAGTTATAGTTTGTCCATTACACAATGCACTTAGATATAATCATAACATTTTCCTTCCATATGAAAACAAGTTTTATTGTGTTTTATGACATACAGCAAGGCAAAAAGTGAAGGCCATGATTTGGAGAGTCTTGGAATTATTAGGTAACGGACGAGAAGTACTAGTTAATTAAACATACATTGCAGTGCCTCCCATTAAACACATACAACACATACGAGAGCAAAAATTGAAGCACAATCAAGCACTCCAACTAGTCAAATACTTATGTGAGCAAGTTAGATCTTTAGAAGACTTGAAAGCTTATAGATCACTTGCTAAATGTCCACTCCTTGTAGCAGCAAAGTTAGGGATTCACGAGATCATATTGAAGAGATTGTGAATTCGTTTCCTAGAGCAATTCTTGCTAAAGACTCAGAAGATCGACACATATTTCAACTCGCAGTTATAAAGCGCCATGAAAATGTTTTCAACCTCTTGTATCAAATGGGTGAGTATAAACAATATATCACACGATTGGAAGACGATAATGAGAACACACTGCTACACTTGGTTGGAAACCAAGCACCTATAGAGAAACTCAATGTTGTTCCTGGTGCAGCTCTGCAGATGCAGCGTAAGTTACAATGGTTTAAGGTAATACAATACTTCTTTCTATTCCAAGGACTAATTACTGATGTATGTTACTAATGTTTGTGTGTGAGCATTGAGCATCTGCATTTCTTTAGCCTAAGTATGTGTGGTTTCAATTTAAGATCAAGCAATAATTTTCCAAAATTTAGTCTTAAAAAAGACAAATACATTGATCCATTATTTCAAAATGTTTGGCTATCGTGCAGGAAGTGGAGAAGTTTGTGAACCCTTGTTCTATAGAAAAGCAAAATGACGATGGAGAAACTCCTTCAACAGTTTTCACCAATAAACACATGGATTTAGTAGTTGAAGGAGAGAAATGGATGAAAAACCGAGCGACCTTATGCACAATTGCAGCAACACTCATTACTGCTATAGTATTTGTTCATTCATTAGGCATTTTTCATCCAAATGCATCTGTAGCAGACATAAATGAAGGACTCTGTATAGCCCTAAATAGATAAGAATAACTGTTTTAATCTCAAGTTGAATCAGTTTTGCAGTTATTCAGCCTTGTGCAAGATTGTTCCCAATATTCAATGAGAAAAATAAGGAAATTTCTTGTCTAGATTAGATGAACTTCTAGTTGTTGTCTTTTTCATCATATAGTATATTTCTTAGAGCATGTCCGCGAGAAACCTGATTTATTAAAATATTTTGATAGAGCATACAAGACTTTCAGGGTTAAGAGACATGCTCTTTTCATCATATAGGATATTTCTTAGAGCATGTCCGAGAGAAACCTGATTTATTAAAATATTTTGATGTTGATGAATATGCTAAATCCAAGAAACGGGAGAATAAGAGTGAAACTCTTGAAAAAATAAGATTGGAGTTGATACAAGGCTTTCAGGATTGGCGTAGACAATATGTAGAACCTAGCCAGGATGACGAATTTTATATGATTTCTGGGGAGACGGAGGATACACTTTCTGAAGGAAGAATTGTGCAAGCAACGGTACGCAGAGTGCAACCTCAAAGAGCAATTTGTGGGCTTGAATCTAGATTGACTGGTGTGCTTACTAAGGAAGACTTTTCTGATGATTGGAGGGACAATTCTGATTTGTCTGAGAAGTTGCATGAAGGTGAGATTCTTACTTGCAGGATCAAATCGATTCAAAAGAATAGGTACCAGGTTTTCCTAACTTGTAGAGAAAATGAGATGAGGAGTAACCGTTATCAGAATAGTCGAGACTTGGATCCCTACTACCACGATGACCAGAGTAGCTCACAGTTTGAGAAAGAAAAAGCTCGTAAAGAAAAGGAGCTTGCTAAGAAGCATTTCAAACTGAGGATGATTGTTCATCCTCGTTTTCAAAATATAACAGCAGATGAAGCAATGGAGGTATGTCCCCAATAAAGTTATATTTCTAGTAGTGAATGACTGTTCCAGGTGGAAACAATAACACAAGTGGACTCCCAATTTTATCCACAGAAAAAGCATTTATCGTTTTTGTAGTTTCGGATGCAATTGCTCTATTCATGTCCACCACTTCTCTTCTGATATTCTTGTCCATTCTCACTTCGCGATATACTGAAGACTATTTTCTCTATGTTCTTCCCCATAGGCTGAGTATTGGCCTTGTTACATTGTTCCTCTCCATAACAACCATGATTGTAGCCTTTAGCTCGACATTTTGTCTTATGTTGGGTGACAAGAACAGCTGGCTACTTAGTTTAGTTGTTATATCAGCATGTTTACCAATTTCTTCTTTCATGCTCCTACAGTTCCCCCTCCTTGCGGATCTCATGTCTTCAACATATGGACCTGGCATTTTTGGCAAGCATAGTAATCGGTCTTTTTATTAAGATCAACAACAAGATGAAGAATTCCAAGCATATATCATCTAGTTTCATCCATTTTAACCAATAAATGGATTATGGTCCCTAAGTTTTCTTCTGTAATAAAAACATGTTGCAATGTTCAACATGAAAAATTGTGTGACAAATGATAGTAACATATACAAGTGCAATGGATTTTGGAAAAATGTTTGTTTTGATTTAGATTTTGAAAAAGATTAAGAATTGCCACTTGGTTTCAGGGTAAATCAAGGAACCAAAATGTTTGACTCCAAAATAAGGCATGGCCTAACTTCACTAAAGACTAGGTCTTTGCGGGCTAAGGTACAAGATGGGAAGGTGTGAGACACGTCTTGCCTGACCATAAGGCCAGCTTTTACTTATCAGTATTGGTTCGTTAATTAAATTTGTTAGGCCTTTGATTTGGGGGTTCGGATCTCCTGTTCCAAAAGCCTGTTCCAACTCTCTGTCCCTTAATTCTCATGCTGACATGTGTCTAGTCTTAAAGATCAATTATAACTCCGTTAGCCTTCTGTTTTGTATGGATTCTCTCTCCACCCAACAAATATGACTCATCTAAACCTGAAAATAGGAACAGAATCAAACAGATCGACCATCTATCATCACCAAAGATTTCGTGTTCTTGGCTATTGACACATACTATTTACAGATACCAGCAATCAAAAGTATTCGGAAGTAGCCATTGGTATCATTCATACCTGCAAACTAGATGTATGAGCAAAACCAACAAGATGTAAAATAGGGAAATTTGCGAATTGGGCTTACCTTAATTACACAACATACAGGTAGTTTATATGTGACATTATATATATATATGGTGTTGTTAATATTAAAAGATGAGAAAGAGCGTGATTCACCGCATCGTTTTCGTCGTCGAACTGCGACGACGAGCCAATCTGGTTGCCGTTGGCATACCCTAACCAGGCAGATCGTGCAATCAGCTCCGTTGAACTTTGAGATGCAGCAGATCAGCCACTGTCAAACATTTACAGTGACTGGATCTTACTATGGCTCCTTTTCGGGGATGCGGAACAGCCACCTTGTGGCGATGATTTGGTCTGACCACGGTGATGAAGCCGAAACACAGATTAAGGTGCGCAGCAAGGTGGCGAGGACAACACGAAGTTGGAAGGTAAGGGATATGGCAGATGAGTTGTGAATTGGGACAGGCTTTTGGAACAGGGGACCCGAAGCCTTGATTTGGACTGCATGAATGACAATTATGGAAAGCCATACAAATATAAATGAAGCTAATATAAACTAAGTAGTGGAATAGGGATACTACTCCATGGAAGTGCAACTCAAGTTTGTGAAATCTCATGATCAAATTGTTAACATATTCACAAAGCCTCTTAAGTACGAAGACTTTACATAGTTTTGGACTTTGTTTGGCGTTACAAAAAATTAAGTTTATAGAGGGGTGTTGAAATAATAACATAATTTTAGTTAAGTTAATTTACACACTTTCTAAAAGTATATATTTATGTTTTGTTCATTTATTTTTGGGGTTCATGAATTTCTAGAGTGAACGTATTTAGGAAGATTCATAAATGATTCATTGGATATAGAAATTGATTTATTTCTACGCTTGCCTATTAGAGCCTATAAATGCCTCATGTAATCAGATTTTCTAACTGGAATCAAACATTCAGTGCCTAGAATTCCTCCTCTTTCAATCCTTCTAGCACTTGTAGAGTCCTTCATGGTGTTCCAGAGGAATACATCCCTGTCAGGCATTAAATAAAACTGTGCGAGCATAGTCCATTGTTGGGTCCAAGGAGCGAGCTAAGGTGATGAGTTTGGTGGATAATAGGAGGCTTTTGTGGGACTCATTTGTGAGGATCAGAACATGGATTCAATTGAGGTCTGAAAGAGAAGAACAAGAATTCAAAAGGTAGTTAAAAGGGAGGGAGTGGTAGTTAGTATGGAAGTGAGATGGGGCATACAATATGGGCTTAAGTTTTCTATGGACTCAGGAAGGAAGTGGCTAACATCAACTTCACATCCCTTTGATAACAGATAGCAATTGGGTTTGGGATATCACTTTTTAGAGTCAGGATCCCTTGAATATTCTTGTCTCTTTGTACCAAATCACTCACAACCATTGGATTATATGAGAATCTCAAGATTTGAGAATATTAAGACATATCCAATGATTATGAATGATTTGAGATATAGAGATAGGAATGTTTAGGGACAGAGATCTTGGGCCACTTTTTAGTGTTCCTAAATGTTTTTTTCCCTATTGGTACTACGGTTTGAGGCATTAGCATTAGTTCAAAAAAGACCCACTCTAGCTGGGACTCCAACCAAAAGAACCATTAAAAAAAAAATTAAATTTTTTTTTTTTTGCCAAGTTTCATAATCACCTCCCTCTCCTTTTCAATAAATTTTAGTGTAAATTATACTAATCCCCTTTGAAATTTAAAGAAAATATAATAAATCTCACAATTTTGACAAAATTACATTAAGTTTTCTTGAAATTTTAATTCATATAATACTTAACTTCATTTTCAACAATAACTTGTCAGTTATATGAATAAAAAAAATGATATTGTCATTTTTTTTTACAAAAAAATATATACTTTGCCCTCTTTATTTTTGTGTTTTTATACCATCTGCATTAGTTTTAGTCCATTTAAAGAAAAGTCAATCTAATTATATCAAAATTATAGAGCTTGCTATATATATATTTAATCCTTAAGAGAGATTAATGTAATTCACCCTAAATTTCAAGTTGGCCTCTTCTCAAATTTAAATTTAAAGAATTTGTAAGGTATGTGAGGCCCATCGTAGATCCCATATAAATGATCTGTACCATTTACTTTGTAAGGTATTCAATGTTTAACATTCATAAAAAAATAATAAAATAAAATAAAATTTGATTCGATAATTATAACTTTTTATTTTATCGCGCTTGTTTTTTTTTAAAAAAAATAGGCAACAATATGTTTTTTAAGAATAGATCATTTATTTTTTTTGGAGACAAGGACGGTAAAATGGAAAGGATAAGATGATTTGATCGATTTAATTTTTTTTTCTTCATAAATCATATACATGGAGGGATTTTAAAAAATAAATGGTTTGAATAATCAAAACGGGACTCGTTGTGGTGCTCCACAGCCATCTCAAGTTCTTCCAAATTCATATCATATCATGTCATATATATATATATATATATATATATTAGGGCAAATTACATATACCTCTCTCAAGATTTAGCTAAA